CGTCAAGAGACGAAACAAGAACAGACGGGTCGGTAACGAGAGAGGCAAGGACCCGAGAAACAAGACGACGAGCGGCATGAAGGTAGTCAGACAGAGGGAGAGGCACGACAACAAGAGAGGACGGAGGTGGCGACGGCAGGAGGGGAGGACGAGACACGTGGGAACGAAGCAACATAGGGTGAGAATGCGAGACAGGGGAGACCAGACGGGCACGAGAGGGACGGCGAGCCCTGAACTGCGACGGGGGGGTCCGGTCGGGAGACAGGAGAGGAGACACAGTAGGGAAACGAGGGGGAAGACGAGCCGGGGAGGAGTCAGGAGGAGGGAACACAGGGTCGTAGACAGGAAGAGGAGGAGACGGTAAGAGAGGCGCAGACGCGTGGTCAGGGGAGGGAAGGCCGAGCAGGCGGAGGGCGGACACCGGCGGCGACCGCAACTGCTGCGGCTGTACGATGCCGACACCTGGACCGCCAGCTACTACACTGCTACCTCCGGAACACTCCACTCTAGCACCCCAAGAAGGAACACCCCCAGAACCAGAGACCCCCTCAGCACCGGCACTACCCCCAGGACGGGCACCCTCCTCAACACCAGCACCCCCAGAGGACACTAACTGCGGCTGCAGGGGGGACAACAACGGCTGCGGCTGCAACGACGGCTGCGGCTGCGACGACGGCTGCGGCTGCGACGACGGCTGCGGCTGCGACGACGGCTGCGGCTGCGAAGGCGGAGGAGGAGACATGGTGAAGGGGCCAGACGGCAAGGACTGCGCCACAGGGCCACGAGAGTCAGCCGACTCCTCAACCGGGACAACCGACGGGAGGGGGGTGACGTGAGACACACCAGACGGGGCAGGGTGGGGAGGTGGGGAAGCAGGGGCGACCGGGGGAGGGGGGACCAGGAACAGGGGGGGAGTAACCGGGGGACCACGGTGGGGAAAGCGGTGGTAGAAGGAGACAGACTCGTCAAAGGTGATGTCGCGAGAGTGAAAGAAACGGTGAGACGGCGGGTGGTAGAAGTGCCAGTCAGGCGAGTCAAGGGGGAAACCGAGGAAGACACAGGGGATGGTGCGGGCAGTGAGCTTGTCCGTGCCGGAGGCACGAACGTGAGCAAGGCAGCCCCAGACGTGGAACGCGAACGCGCCACCCGGGGACCCGGTCTAGAGAAGGGTCGGCGAAACCTGCGGCTGCTAGGGGTGCGGCCACAGGTTAAGCTGGTGGGCGGCGTAGCGAACGGCGAACGACCACAGAAAATGTGGTGCCCTAGCATGGATCATGGAGGTACGAGCAACCTCCATGACCAGACCGATGCGTCGCTCAATGACCCCATTTTGCTGCGGGGAGTCCGGCAGGGTGAACGTCTGGGTGATGCCCTCCGCACGACAGAAACGACCAAGGACGCCGGAGGCAAACTGGCCACCACGGTCGGAGTGAAGACACAGGACAGGATGGCCGCGGTGCACTCGCGCAGAGACCAGCCACGGGATAAGAGCCTCAGGCACGTCGGCCTTCCGCTCTAGAGGAAACACGGTGGTGTAACGAGTATAGTCGTCAACAAGGATGAGGAACTAACGCTCACGACGCAGCCCATGAACCTGGGCAGGGCCCCAGACGTCCATGTGCAAGTTCTGCAAGGGTGCAGTGGTGGGGGGGAACGAGGAGGAGTGAGGGGCACGGCGGAGCCGGCCCTCGACGCAGGGAGAACACGGCTGTGCGGGTGAGGAGGGGAGCGCAGGTAACGACCCAGGGAGGCCTAGAACATGACCGTGCTGAGATATATGACGAAGACGGGGGAGGGCAGGGTGACCTAGGCGGTGGTGCCACAGTAGCGTTGGGTGAGTGAGCGACCGACACGAGCAAGACGCAGCTACCTGAGGAGACAAAGTCACCTGGGGAGATGCCACAACCAAGGGGGGGCGATGTCCAGTGTGAACAGGCCAGACACTGGGTCCCGGGGGAACGTGGAGAGAGGAGCACCTGTGGCGGCCTCGGTACAGACAGCGTACCGCTCATGACCAGGGAACGTAGTGGTGACGCCAAGGTCCTGGAGGCAGCCGACACCAACTAGGTTCCTAGAGAACGAGGGGATGTGCAGGCGTGTAAGGGAGCCCGAAGGAACCGCTGGTCAGGGAAGGGTGGTGGAGCTACGGGCTACGACAGGGCCGGAGGAGGGGTCGGCCAGGGAAACCGCGGCAAGGGCTGGGAGTGGCGTGAGAGTAGTGGAGTCCCGGAAGAAGCACCGAGAAGCGCCAGAGTCAAGGGTGAAACGAAGACGAAACAGGTCGTACAGGCGACTGAAACAGCGAATAGGGGTGTGACCGATCTTACAGCACACAAGGCCACGGCGAGGACCGGTATGAAGCTGGTACTGGCAGCGCCTGTCGCCAGAGCCACCACCCGACGGCATGCCACGTGCACAACCAGTGCGACCGCCACCACCGCCAGCGCCGGGCCACCCGGGCAGGAGACGACCAACGCGCCGCTGCTGCTGCTACTGCTGCTGCTGCTGGCGTGGTGGCTGGTACTGCAGTGGCTGCTGCGGCTGCGGCTGCGGCTGCTGTTGATCCTGCAATGCAACTGGCTGCTGCTGCTGAGACTGCTGCTCGGTGGTGCCAGACCCAGCACCCTCCTCCGCACCCCTTGAGGGCAACCCTGCGACAGCACCTCCTCCACCCACACCGCCGCCACCCCCACCACCGCGCCCAGCCTTGGGGCGGCGGCCCTTTCCCGGACGAAACTGCACTGCCGCAGCTGTCTCAGCCACAGCAGCAGAGCCATCAGAGAAAGTGCACTGAGCGGGCGCATAGCCCTGAAAGATAGAGACCGGTACAGTACCGCTAGACTGGGCGATAGAGCGCTGTCGAGTCTCTATGGCTGATAGGGTGTCGACAAAGTCAGTGAGGGTGAGGTCGGCAGGGTGGAGACTAAGAAAGCGATCGCGGGCAGTAGCAAGTCGGTCAGGGAGGCGGGTGGCAAGCAGGTAGAGAGTAGCACAGAGGGGGGCCTAGAACACGCGGAGCTGAGCCTCAGTGCAGGCAGAGCGCCAGGTCGAGTCTAGCGTGCGCAAGTGGGCGGCTAGGTCAGCAACAGTGGGGAAAGACGCGAGGTCAGGAAACAGCAGAGGCAGGATCAGGCGACCGACGGAGGCAGCGGACGGAGTGGAATAGCGCTTAATAACAGCATCTAGGAATTCCTGGGCGGTCCTGACCGACCTAAAGCGGGGACGCTCAGACAAGGGAAGGGCATGACTGATGGCTAGTTGGGCAACAGCGTCACACGACAACCAGACCGAGCGAGCAAGGGCTGCAGCAACAGCGGACTCACGCTCAGCGGACGTGGGGTCAGCAGGCAGCGCAGCAGGGGGGTCAGGACAGGGGAGCGTACCGTCGAGGTGTACAGCCAAGGAGTGGCCATCCTGCCGCTGCCCAGTGAGGTGACAGCGGAGGTCGACGAGCCACGTGTCGAACTCGATCGGCTGACCCTCCGCGTCAAACCGCAGCACAGAGTCCGCCATCAGGGGCGTTTTAGCTGCGGTGTAGGGCGGGGCAGTGCAGTGCAGTGGGGTGCAGTGCGGTGCAGTGAGGTGCAGTGCGGTGACGGGCGGTGCAGTGTGGTGCAGCGCAGTGCAGGAGCCGGCTGCACGGGACGTGCAGCTGGGCGGCAGGGCTGGGCGCTGAGAGCGAGCTGGTGCGGGCCGGGGCGGGGCGGGGACGAGCCGGCGACGAACGGGCGCGGGGGGGGGGGTGAGCGGCAACGGACGGTCGCGAGGGCCAGCTACGGGCGGGCGCTGGGCCGGCTAACAGACGGGCGCGGGGCCGGTTACGGACGGGCGCTAGGGGGGCCGGCTACGGGCGGGCGCGGGGGTCGGCTAACGGACGGGCGCGGGGCCGGCTACGGGTGGGCGCAGGGCCGGCTAACGGACGGGCGCAGGGCCGGTTACGGACGGGCGCTGGGGGCCGGCTACGGGCGGGCGCGGGGCCGGCTAACGGACGGGCGCGGGGCCGGCTACGGACGAGCGTGGGGGCCGGCTACGGACGGGCGCGGGGGCCGGCTAACGAACGGGCGCGGGGCCGGCTACGGGCGGGTGCAGGCCGGCTACAGGGCGGGCTCAGGCCGGCTACGGGACGGGCGCGAGACGGGGCCGGCTACGGGATGAGCCGGCTACGGGACGGGCGTGGGGCCGGCTACGAGGAGGGCGCCGGCCGGCGACGAGGAGGGCGCGGGCGCGGCTACGAGGAGGGCGCGGGCGGGCGGGCAAGGGGCCAGCTAGGAGACGGGCGCGTCTACGAGACGGGCGCGGGCGCGGGCCGGCTACGGGACGGGCGCGGGACGGGCGCGGGACGGCGACGGGATGGGCGCGGGCTGGCTACGGGAACGGGCCGGCTAGGGGGGGGGGGGGGGGAAGGGCGGCTAGGACCTAGGGCGGAAGCACGGGTAGGCGAACGGGACCTAACCTACTCATGATACCATGTTAGAATGATGGAACGAACTAGAATGTGAGAGTACAAGAGAATATAGGCTAGTGTTGTACTCTCTAAGGCACAAACCTATACAGTCTACAATAACATAATAAGATATGTTTTGACACCTTTTATATCTGCTAGAAGTACCGATGCGCTCTAACCGCTACTGAAAAGAGCGCGACTGTTCGCGTGACTGAAACGGCCTACTGACGTAATCATCCAGACGAGCGATATTTGCTGACGTCATTCTACGGATGCTAACTACAGTGTAACTCGACAATATCTATCGGAACTACTTACAGAAATGCTTAAGTACGATTTTATCACAACAGCTAGGACCTTAATTGTGTATGACTCTATATATTATCCTGACTGGCCTTGTGGCTTCCTCCCGGTGGCTGGACTAGTAGTGCCGGCCTGGTCTGGTTCTTGCCTTGTTTGTTCTCTTTTGACTGGTCTTTAGACCCCTGCCTCAGAGGTTGGACTAGTAGTGCCGCCCTGAACTGTTTCTCTCATCAGGCTCTGCCCCTATCTAGTCTAGGGGGTGTGTCAAATATACTTGTGTATGTTTAGTAGACTACATAGGGTCTTGCCATAGAGAGTACAACCCACTAGCTATATACCCCTGTATACTCTCATTCTAATCATTCGTTCTAACTCTGAGACTAGGTTCTACACTAATCCCTATTTCTACTTCTATTTATTGCTCTTCCTTTTCTCCCTAATCCCCAATCCAACTTTCACTTCCTCCCTCCTCGCCTTCTCCTCCAGCTCCAGCCTCTCATTCTCACTCCCCACCTTCCCTTCCACTCCCCCTCTACACGTCTCGGGTGGTTTGAAATCTGCCAACTGTCACCCCTGCCAAGCCCCTTCACACTGTTGCCCACGCTGCAGCTGACAAGGCCCAACGCCCCCCCTGCTCCTCCCCACCTCTTGCTGCCCACCTCTTCCTGCCCACGTCTTGCTGCCCACCTCTTGCTGCCCACCTCTTGCTGCCCACCTCTTGCTGCCCACCTCTTGCTGCCTACTGCTGCTGCACCCACCACTCCCGCCGCCTCCACTGGGTCCCCGGGCAGCATGACAACGCAAGGCACGTGTCACCATCATGAAAAACAGCAAACTTGCCGGCAGCCACGCCCTGGCCGTCCAGCAGCAGAGTGACCGGGGCTGCTGCGGCGAGAGGGGGAGAGAGCACTGCAGTCCTTGAATGGATCTGCTGCTGCTCGTGCCTGCTCCATAGATTCTGGCTACATTAGCAACAGGTTGGTTCGTCCACACACCTAGGGACCCCACTTGCCGCCCTGCGTCCAGCTGAACCTGCCCACCCAGAACTGCCGGTCGCACTTGGCGCGTGCATGCTGCCTTGCTCTCGCGTTGCAGCTGGGACCCTCTCCTCCACGTCATGGAGGGCCACATGTGCTGCCCCGCATCCAGCTCAACCACCCCACCAGAGCTGCCGATGAGAGTTGGCAGACGAGAGGTGGGTGCAGGCTGACTTGCCGCTTTTACAAGAAGCTGCCTGGCTCTTACGTTGCATGCGAGGTTGCCTCTCTTAGCCAGAGGGTTGCACGCGCCACCAAGCGTCCAGCAGAATCCTGCCACCTAGAAGTGCCGCCGTGACTTGCTAGGATGTGGGTAGCTGCGGGACACAAAGACAGGGCTGGTTGGCGTGACTGTTGCGACCAAGTATCTGAAGAGCGGAGGGGGGGGAGCAGCAGGGAACATATTGGGGAATCGATGGGTGCGAGATGGGAGGTTGCCTGGTGGGAGGCAGTCACGAGAGAGAAACACAGTGCTGCTGGGCGGGGCTCTGGCAACCACATGCCTGGTGCGATGGGGAGAGGGGAGAGACGAGCGTGATGGACAACGCTCTAGCTCAAAGAGCTGCGAGTGGTGGTTGCAGGAGACAACGACAGTGCTGAATGGTGAGTGGGCACCACGTGCCTGTCGAATGACTGGGCAGCAGGGGGGGGGGAGTGGGGGAATGGTGGATAGCAACGCGAAGAACGAGTGGCGGTGCTTGCACCAGACAAACAAGGTGCTAGCGGCCGGGCCTGCTGCCCTTGCCAACCACGTGCTTGGTGGGAGGGAGGGGAACGGAAGGCAAGGGAGGAGGGGATAACAGACATTTGAAGCAGGATGAGCCACCGTCCGTCGTGGTTGCAGGGTGCCCATGTCATTTCCCATGTCAGTTGCCATGTCATCCCCCATGTCATTCCCACATCACTTCCCATGTCATTTCCCATGATATTTCCCATGTCATTCCCATGACATTTCCCATGTCATTTCCAATGTTATTTCCAATGTTATTTCCCATCACATTTCCCATGTCATTTCCCACGTCACTTCCCCTGGCATTTCCCATGTCATTTAACATGTCATTTCCCACGTCATTTCGCATGTCTTTCCCCTATCAGTTGCCATGTCATTTGCCATGTCATTTGCCATGTCATTTGCCTCCACGTGCATATGGATGGATTGCTCTGTCCGGGATTCACCAGCACCCGCCCATACGCGTCTGCGTTGCGCACCACGGCAATCCAGAGAGTCTGATGCCCTCCCTCTCCCAACTGCTCAGCACCCAGAAACCTCTATCCGTGCCCTGCACCTCACTGCTGTGCGTGTGTGTGTGTGTGGCATGCCGATACTGCTCTCCCTCACTCACCCCGCAGCATGATCCCTGCCTCTGCCTGATGGTGAAGAGCCAGAAGCATTTAGAGTGCTGGAGCCAGGCAGTAGTGCATGCGTGCCCAATAATGAAAAGCCTCCACGCACCAATGCCCGGCAAGCAGCGTCATGCCCTGCCTCTGTCCAATAGCAAGAACCAGCAGCCCCTGCGCACGCCTACAGCCTGCCTGCTCTGCATGTGCTTGCATGCGGCCCACCAGCACTCCTCCCCCAGACTCAGCACGGCCCACCAGACAGCTTGACCCCCTGCCTGTGCCTGACGGTGAAGCACGAGCCCCTGTGCTGTGCGCGCCCAGCGCCTCACCACTCCCCGCCGCAACGAGCAGTCCCTCCCGCTCGCCCACATGCCTGGCGACGAGTTGAGGTACTTCACTTGGCATCACAGCTTTAAAGCGAGGATCCCGAGACACCCTGGGACCAAAACCAAAGGTTTTGCTTTCCAGCCAAAACGCCGCTCATATCAAAAACAAAGTTTTTGATCTCGGGGGTTTTGGAATCCACGCTTTAAGGGCTAAGGGCGAAAATCGGGATTAAGCGTTAGCGAATCCAGTCCCTTGAAACCCAAACACAAAGACGAACTCAGCGTTTTAAGTTGGGAATGATTGAAATAAGGGTTTGGAAGATAGAGGGAGTGACGGGAAGGTGGAAAAAAGGCAGGCGGAGGAGGAACAGAGGCAGAACACGCACGAGCATACCTCCACGAACCATACCTTCCCAATTCGTGAGACGGCTTTAGAGGCGCCTCAAGAAAGCAAGGCTAAGGAGGTAAGAGGAGGAGAAGGAACAGCTTCTGGGCGGGGGCACCTCAGACGTTGCTGCCACAACCCTGGGAATCATTCCTCTTTCGGCTGGGCAGGTGCGGCTCAATAGATCGTACCTTCCCCAGATCGTACCGTCCCAGGAGGCGTATCCCCTGGGTGTCCTTCCTGCTCTGGTCGTGCAGGTTGAGCGTGGCTGGCAGCGGTCGCACCTGGGACTGTGGAGGGAGGGAACACCTGGACGCACAGGGGCCCTGAGCCCCCTCAGCTCCACACCACCCTCATGTGCCTGCTAGCTGTCGCACCAGGTGTGGTAGGTGGTTACCCTGGAGGGGGGGATGAGAAGACTGGGGCAGGGTGGGGAAGCATGTCGAACTGAAGAGTAAACTTAAGGGCTTTGTTGGATATGTCGTTTACGCTTTTCAAAAGCAAGCTTTCGTTTCAGGGCAGGCTGATGTTTTTTTCGCTACCCAACCTTGTCGCCTGTTTCAAAGGCTCTTTCAAGAAGGCATCCCCTGATACACGTCCTCATGTGCCACAACGCGGCAGCAGCTCTGCTGACATTCCAACCCCTCCGCCACAACGTCCAAGCGATGTGTCGACCCGAGGGTTGGAATGTCAGCAGAACCGCTGCTGCATTGCGGCACAAGATGAGTGCATCAGGGGATGCCTTGTTGAAAGCTTCTGAAGATTCCAGCGGGATGCCAAATGGGTCAATCTGTTGACCGCGAGATGGGATAAAGAGAAAGAAAAGAGTAGCACATGCGTGCAGAGTGGCAGATGCAGGCAAAGTGCACTAAGCTTGAGAGGTTCGTTACATTGAACGACTGGGGCCCTCTATGAGCATAAGGACCCTCTATGAGCATAAGGACCCTCTATGAGCATAAGGACCAGATTCAGACTCACGACATGGTATCTTAGTGCGAGAAAGCGAACGCACGCGACGCCAACCAACGCCCCGGACTTGATGCGTGAGTTGCTGCAGAGCATGTCAGGTTGGGTGTGCGGCCATTGCGAATCCCTGCCACACAGTGCAGTACTACCCACTGCCAGTAGGCACATGTGAGATGAACTATGCGCAGAGGGACACTGAGTTGGAAGAGGGGGAGGGGGGGGGGGGAGAGACAGGCGCGTGGGAGATAGCGGGAAAACACAGGGCATGTCGGTGCATTGAGTGTGCTACACTGACGTACGAGTGGAGTTAGCAGCAGCCATTGCTGCAGTGAGATTGTCTCACAGAGGACTACGCGGGAAGCGAGTGGTGCCACACTGTGCTGCTCTCACCGTGCTGCTCTCCCTGTGCTGCTCTTGAGGCGCCTTGAAACAGCAAGTCAAGTGGCACACGGATCTGGAGAGTTGAGGGGCATGAGCGCGGTTATCCAGGGTGGCAAAGCGCAGTCAGCGGAGGAATGGGATGGCAGTTGACACAGCATTGGCATGAGCGCGCCTGGTCCCACAGCCTGAGCCATGGCGTGGTCGTCCTCCCAGGGGCACTGCCACCGCCACCTCTCACAGTCCTCCCGGAACCACAGCTTCAGGCCAAACGCCTCACACTTAAGCCCCGCCGCGTGCAGCAGCCTAAGCGCCAGGCTGCTATCCACGCCACACCACCGCTTAGCAGCACCGCCACCTGCAGCGGCCGCTGCTGCTGAGAGTTCCCAGTGCGGTGGTCGCAGCACGCCAGGACCCTTGGATCATCTCAATCCAACGGCTGAGATTTTATGCTGTGCTGCAGGCACTACATGTGCTGGCGGGGGGAGGGTTGCTGCGGACGAGGGGGAGAGCGGCTCAGGGTCTCTCGAGGGAGCGTCTTCAGAAAGTTCCTCCCACTAAGAGTCCACAGCACGGACGCCAGCAGCCTGGCTGTCAGTAGAAGCGCGCCACGTGGCACTCGCACGTGAGCGTATCAGAGGTGACGTTTGAGCGTTTGGAAGAAGAGGAAACGAAGCGCCTTGAGAGGGCAAGGCTGAGACTGCTTCTCGTACTCCCGCCCGTGCTGCTTCGAGCGGAATTAGCGAGAGCCGTGCTTTGCAGGCCTGCCGCTGCGGTTCTGAACGACCTGTGACTGCTGCTAAGTGCATCTTCGGTCGCACGTGCCGAAGACCGCAGGTCGGCCGCCGATGGATGAAGGCGCTGCGCGGGTGGGACGGATGGCGAAAAGAGGGATGCGCCTGAAAGCGAGGGGTGCAGTGCGGGGAGCGACATGCACGTGGTCGGGGGTGGGCAGCCCCGCGATCAGCGACATGACGAGAGCCGACGGGCCGATTGCTCGGCGGGCGGAGTGGACGACGAATCTGGCAGCAGAGCGCATGTGGCGCGGAGAGAGCATGCTCGATGGTTCGCCCTCACCACCGCGCTCACGCGTGCTGTACGACATAGTTGCCCACGAAATTGGACAGTTCCGGAGCTCGTGTCAGACTCGAAGCGAGCCTGCTCGTCATGCACCCCCCAGAAGGCCTGACACAAACCACCAAATGTGCCCTTGCGTGAGAGTCCATCACAGAAATACCCGTAAAAGCCCGGATATAAGACCCCCTAGTAATAGAAGACCCTGGGTCTTCTATTAGGCGCTTATCTTGTGGTAACCGGTTTTTTGCCCCTGGATCTAGGACCGTTGGGAATATTTCTAGACGGTATGTGATAAGACCCATGGGTCTTATATCTGGGCTAATACGGGTATGGACATTTGAATATCGTCTGACGTTCCGAGCTAGGCGCTATCGACTCTGAACCCTCTTGGAACTGTTCGAGATTCATCTGTTTCCCAAGTCAATGGCTTCAAATGATTGGCAAATGATGCGAAATGATTAAATAAAACTGTGACAAATGTGTGGGCATGAGTGGTTAGGCGCTGGGGCAGTTGTTATGAATTAATCAGAATAATAACAGATAGTGTAATAAAGGAGTCGTGATTCAAGAGTGTCGATACAAATGAGGGCCTAGGCATTTACAGGCACGAACAAAGCTAGCCAAGAACCACGCGAACAGGTTGGGGCGATTCGGTTGGCGAAAGCCACCGAAGCACTGCGCGTCGAGGTTTGGGTTCGCGAAATGGTTTGGGACCGAAGAAGCTGGCCGTGTTAGAATAAGAGAATGTTTTACTAGTGAGAGAAACCTAGAACATATACCTCTTGTGTTGTACTCACTAGAAGCACACACCTAGGCTAGCCTATAACTTCTACATGCAACATATGTATAAGTTGACACACCCCTCTAGGCTAGAGAAGGGGTGGTGCTAAGCAAGAAGCATACAGCTCAGGGTGGCACTACTAGTCCAACCACTGAGGCAGGGGTCTGGAGACCAGTCAGCAAGAGTACAAACAAGTCTAAAGCAAGCCAGGGTGGCACTACTAGTCCGGCCACTAGAGGTAAGGCCACAAGGCCAGTCAGACAGGTATATATAGTAGAGAGTAGACAATCAGGGTCCTAACAAGTGAGAAGCTACAGGAACTAGACCAAGCTGTACACAGTGCCGCTGATGATCTTTAGGTGCCAGCGCCTTAGTAAAGATATCAGTTGTTTTAGCACCGGAGGCCAAGTGAACTACGCGTCCCTGGCGACGCTGCTGTAGCTCGCGCAGGAGGAAGTACCGCAGCTGGATATGCTTCGCTCTGCCCTCAAGTCGAGGCTCCTGACACAGGAGAATCATGGCCCTGTTGTCAACGTACAGGACCGGGGCAGAGCTAGGCCGCTCACCTAAGTCTGTGAGCAAGAAGGTCAGCCAGCGGAGTTCCTGTGCCGCCATGGCACCGGCGTAGATCTCAGCCTTACAGCTGGACTGTGCAACAGACGACGAGCGAGTGGATCTCCAAGAGATTGCACCCGAACCAAGGCTAAAACAGTAGCCCTGCGATGACCTGAGAGTCTCAGCGTCGTCTGCCCAAGAAGCGTCTGTGTGTCCAGTAAGGACCACTGGCCTGCGTCCTCCAAGCACTAACCCCATGCCCGATATACTTGCTAGATAACGCAAAACCCTCTTAGCGGCAGACCAGTGCTGCGGTCGGTGTCTACCTCTGGCCACAAAGCGAGCCAGGATGCTGAGAGGGTATGCGAGATCTGGTCGAGTGCAAGTCATCAGGTACATGAGGCAGCCCACCAGCTCTGTGTAGGGGTCGCTGGGCTCTACTAGCTCCTCAAGAACGGGAGCAGAGAGCCCATGGTCTACAAGTAGAGGTGTGGGCTGTGCGGAGGAGAACTGAAGACCGAACCTCTGAAGGACCTAACGCACCAAGTGTGACTGTGTCAGAGTGATGGTGCGTGCTGCTCTGTCCCTAGAGATCTGCAGGCCAAGATAGCGACGCAACTCTCCAAGGTCAGTGCAGGTGTGTCTCTTCAGCAGCTCGGCCTTCACAGAGGCCAGTGCGTCCCTGTCAGCAGTAGCAAAGACCAGGTCGTCTACGTAGAGAAGGATGGAGAACGGAGTCTGGCCGGAACGCACAAACAGCGAGGGGTCAGCAGAGGACGGAAAGAACTGCAGGTCTGCTAGCGTGGCCCGCAGCGTGTCGTGCCACTCGCGAGGAGCCTGCCGCAGGCCGTAGACCGGGCGCCTGAGAAGCCACTATGTCCCAGGGGGGAAGGTACCAGTGAAGCCCTGTGGTCGGCGCAGGTAGACCTGCTCGTGTAGGCTGCCCTGAAGAAATGCAGTAGAGAAGTCGAGGGAGTGAAGCTCGTAGTCGCGCTGTGCTGCTACGTGTAGCAGCGCCCGAAGAGTGGTCATCTTCGGGGTCGGGGCGAAGGTCTGGAAGAAGTCAACCCCCTCGCGCTGGCTGAAGCCTCTAGCCATGTAGCGCGCCTTGAAGACAGGCGGCTCTCCAGGGGGGCGCTTCACCTTGAAGAGCCAGCGGCCATCGACTACGTTCACCCCAGGAGGGGGAACTGCGTCGACGTAAGTGCCGGTGGACCTCCAAGATGCCATCTCATGCTCCATGGCAGCTATCCACTAAGAGGCCAGTGTCCCGAGGTGGCCTTAGCGTAGGTGCGAGGGGTCGAGATGTCGAAGGCGTCTGGGTCACCCTCTGGGACTAGGAGCATGGAGCAGAGATGGGGAGCGGCCTCGGAAAGGAAAGCGAGCTCGTACTGGCGGTCCTCCAGGACGTCACTGCTAAGGGCAGGTGCACCCCCGACAGACGGAGGACGGGCAGGGTCGGAGACCAGAGCGGTAGCGTAGTCAAGGCGGCGGGTAGAGGCGAAGTCAGCGACTGCAGCGACAAGCGCGTCAAGGCGCGAGACAGGAACAGACAGGTCTGTAACAAGAGAGGCAAGGACCCGAGGGACAAGGGGACGAGCGGCACGAAGGTAGTCAGACAGCATGGGAGGTGCAACAACAAGCGACGAGGGAGGAGGCGAGGGGAGGACGAGACGAGTGGGAACGGAGCAATATAGGGTGGGAGCGCGGGACAGGAGAGACGGGACGAGCACGGGAGGGACGGCGAGACCAAACGTGAGACGGAGGTGTAGGGTCAGGAGACAGCGGAGGGGACTGAAAAGGAGAACGAGGAGGAAGACGGGCCGGAGAAGAGTCCGGGGGCGGGAACACAGGACGGTAGACAGGAAGAGGAGAAGGTGGAGGGAGAGAGACCGGCGAGTGGTCAGGAGAGGGAAGGCCAAGCAGGCGAAGAGCGGAGACCGGCAGCGACGGCTGCGGCGGCTGCTGCAATGGCTGGGTCTCGACCTGCGGACCGGCAGGGGCGCGACGACCGCCGAGAGAACACTCAACGGCAGCACCCCCAAAACCAACACCCCCAGAGCGAGAACTCCCTCCAGCACCAGCAGCACCCCCAAGCTCTCCGGAGTCGACCACGGCGGGGGCAATAGGACGAGCACCCTCCTCAACGCCAGCACCCCCAGAGGCCAAGAGCGGTAGCGGCGGCGGCGGCGGTGGCAGCGGCGGCGCCTGCGACGGCGGTGGCGGCGGCGGTGGTGGCGGCGACGACAGCAGCGACAGCGACGGCGACTGCGACGGCGACAGCGGAGGGGGGGACACCGGGGAGGGGGGGTGTTGCACAGACGGGCCGGGGGGACCACTAGAGTCAGCAGACTCCTCAACGGGGACAAGCGACGGGAGGGGAGTGACATGGAAGACACCAGACGGGGCAGGACGTGGCGGGAGGGGAGCAGGGGCTACCGGGAGAGAGGGAGCAAGGAACAGGGGGGGGGGAAACCGGGAGACCTCGGTGAGGGAAGCGACGGAAGAAGGAGACGGACTCGTCAAAGGTGACGTCACGAGAGTGGAGGAAGCGGTGAGACTGCGGATGGTAGAAGAGCCAGTCAGACCAGTCCAGGGGGAAACCAAGGAAGACACAGGGGACAGTGCGGGCAGTGAGCTTGTCCGTGCTGGAGGCACGAATGTGAGCAAGGCAGCCTTAGACGTGGAACGCAGACGCGTCACCGGGGGACCCGGTCCAAAGGAGGGTCGGCGAAACCTGCGACCGCTTGGAGCATGGCCACAAGTTAAGCTGGTGAGCAGCGTAGCGAACAGCGAACGGCCACAGAAAATGGGGGGCATCGGCATGAATCATGGAGGTACGAGCAACCTGCATGACCAAGCCGATGCGGCGCTCAACAACCCCATTCTGCTGTGGCGAGTCCGGCAAGGTGTACGACCGGATGATGCCCTCCGCACGACAGAACTGTCCAAGCCGACAAGAGGCGAACTCGCCGCCACGGTCGGAGTGGAGACACAGTACAGGGAGACTGCGGTGAAGACGCGCAGCTACAACCCACAGGAGAAAAACGTCGGGCACGTCGGCCTTCCGCTCCAGGGGAAACACCGTGGTGTAGCGCGTGTAGTCGTCAACGAGCACAAGAAAGTAGCGCTCACCGCGCGGTCCGGGGACGGGGGCAGGGCCCCAAACGTCCAGGTTCAGGGTCTGAAGGGGAGCAGTAGTAGGGCGAAGCGAGGAGGAGTGAGGGGCACGGCGGAGCCTGCCCTCGACGCAAGGTGTGCACGGTGGCGCAGGCGAGGGGGGGAGTGCGGGGAGCGACGCGGGGAGGCCTAAGACAAGACCGTGCTGAGACATGTGACGCAAGCGCGGGAGAGCAGGGTGACCTAAGCGATGGTGCCACAGAAGGGACGGGTGAGTGAGGGACCAACACGAGCAAGCTGCAGCGACCTAGGAGGACGCACCAACCGGGGGGGAAGCGGTGTCGAGGGTAAACAGCCCGGACACCGGGTCCCAGGGGAACGTCGCAAGGGGGGAACCTGAGACAGCCTCGGTACAGACAGCGAACCGCTCGTGCCCAGGGAACGTAGTGGTGACGCCGAGGTCCTGAAGACGGCTGACACCAACCAGGTTCCTGGAGAACGAGGGAACGTGGAGGCCGGTAAGAGAGCTCGAGGGAACGGCTGGACAGGGAAGGGAAGTGGAGGTGCGAGTGACGACAGGTCCCGCGGAGGGGTCAGCGAGAGCGACAACAGTAGGCGCAGCAAGCGGCGTGAGCGTGGAGCGGTCGCGGAAGAAGCAGGCAGAAGCACCGGAGTCGAGAGTGAAGGACAGTGAGGCAGTGGCGGAGGCTGGGAAGGAAGCCGGTGCAGAAACTAGGCTAGGCAAACGAGGCAGTCTACGCCTGACGCAGCAGGGGAGGCTAAGCTACACAAGGGTGCTACGCCTAAACTAGAGTACACAGGGTAATAAGATCCAG